TCAGATGGTTGGGACATGTGGAAAGAATGGAAGCAAAGGGAATGTAAAAACTATTAATAACCTGAAAACTAATCGGCCCCAAAAGAAGAGGTAGACCCAGAACGAGGTGGATTAGTAAAGTGGAGAAAGACCTTAAACACGTGAAGGTGAGGGACTGGAAAAGAAAAGCACACAATAGAAGCGAATGGAGAAATATTGTCCACCAGGTCCTTCAGAGTAGTTAAGAATGTTGTATACACATATTTAAGTTAAAGTTTTGTTTAAAATAATAGTATTTAGTTAATATTAGGATCATGTTTTAAAAAAAAAATGCCCTAGGCCTTAACGGCCTGTTGTGCGTAAAAAAACAAACTTTCATTTCATAGACGAAGCTTTTTATATTAGTGACTGAAGGAAAACCCAACTATTCATAAAGGGACCATATTTATTATCACTAATCCACCAAGGAATTCAGCAGCCACAATCACACAGAGTTAACTTTATTCAAAACTACCATCCAACATTTCGACCTCTCTTTTCTTCCACCTCAGGCTATGTCATTATCAAACTCCCCGTATGAACGGCAACAGAGACAAAATGCCCTTTGATAAGGAGTCACGAACGCCGTATACCGGTGCAGATATATTTATATACGGTAGGGTCCTAATCACGGTGCTATTGTTGTCAGGGGAAGATTTGTGTGTCGTGGTAAGTAGTTCACGTGGAGTTATCTGGCTTATGGAAGTAGAACGATTCGGAAAATTTGAATATGAATAGTTTACTTTGGCTTTAAAAAGCTTCATTTCTAGCTGTTTAGAGTTAAAGTGTAGTACAGAAAAGGTATAGAAACGGCGGAAAATAAACAATTCTGAGCTTTCTCTGTACTTTATATAATGTTTTCCAAGATATTAAACACAAATGTAAAGAATTTGTACGTGTTTTCACTCTACCGAAAGCATTGTTGCCTTTGGTCGTTTCGTAACATTTTTGGAACAACGGACAAAAGTGATGTGCCTCTGAAACCAGACGCGAATTGTTTTCTGTTTGTCGGAAAATTATGGATTCGCAAAACAAGGACAGTTTTGCCCCCGAGCGGGCGATTATAAAAAAACGTCAGCGAGTTTGGGGTTCAGCACGCCCGAACAAAGCGTCCAGATTTTTTTAAATCACTGTTTTGGCTCTAAGCCGTGAATTATGACCTTGCGGGGGTTGCAAGCTTCTGTACGAAGGTTGGGCGACGTCGATTTTATATTTTAGTTATAACTTTTCTTTATTTGTCGGTAAAATTGATCGTCCTTCTACTACAGCTATGAAAATCTTTTGTCATAAGTTATCATTGATTAAAAACCATCGAGCAATAAGACAAAAGAGGGAATGTAAAGGTAGAAGGGGTAAACATATTGATAGACAGGAAGTGCCATCTTGAGAGGCCACTTTAGACAAGGATAGACAGTCTCTTTCCTTGTTTAAGAAGTCAAATTTAGTTTGGTTATGTTATTGTTTGTCCCAACTGTCACATGAAATTTTATTTATATTGAAGTTTTTTACCAATTATGTCACTTTTTAGACTATTATCGTTAATATTTAATTAAAACTTACTAGTCTGAAAAATATTTTATAGCTATTGTTAACAAATGTTGGAAAATTTAAATTTAGCGCCTTTGCATTTCCGGATGTGTCCGCCATCAGAGGCCACTTTTTTGGTCTCCTTTTTATAACGATTAGATTCCCTCTTTTGTCTTATTGCTCGATGTTAAAAACTAACACAATTGCAGAGGCGTAACAGAGATATATCAGGGGCTCCATCTTGTCTAATACATATATGAATAAATGTGATATTGTTATATTATGTTACGCATGCATATGCAACGGTTTTAAGTAGTATCTTGAATTCTTCAGAAACTTTTCTCGATTTAACAAAAAAGCGCCCCGTTCTCCTAAGGAAATGAGAAACAGAACTAAAGAATTTCAGGCTACATCAGTGAAAATTAAATGTAAAAACTATGAGGTAATCGTCACAGCGGTTTACAGTCCGCGAAGGACTGTATTTATTGTTTTTGGACTATTGTTTATTAGTTTATGGTCTAACGTCTAAACATTTTATGATTTACGGTAATAGTTATAGTTATTTATAAATTTTTAGTTGTTTATTGAGTGGCAAGACCACCTCTCTGGAACGGTCGTTAAGGTTTTAGTCGGAACACGGTTAATCCGGCACTACCCTGGGGTTTTCTGGCTTAGTATCCCACTCGGCCGAAAGAAACCAGGATGTCTTGTTCCGTGATGTAGAGGTCCAAAAAATATTTCCCCCACAGTTGCCTGTCAGAATCCAATGGATACCTTCTTAGGCTCTTACTGGAATCTGGCAATACGGCTGATATGGATGATAGTGAATGATCACATAGCAATAATCATAAGATTCCTGTTACAGTTTTATCAAATAAAAAAATACATGATAATACATACCTGTAAGTTTAAATTTAGGAATGCAAATTTCTAAATGGGCATATTTTATATCTGCTCCTCCCATAAACAGAAACCTAATCCGTTCCGGTACGTGACTAATTGAAAGGTTTTGGGAATTACAATTTTGCTAATTTTGGTATATAGATTTATAACAACGTTATAGCCTGTTGTAAAGCGGAAGGCGTTTTTCTTCTCCAAACCTGCGTAACAAAAGGGAAAAATAAAAATAAGAGTTCGAGGATGGGATGCCTACGGGAGCATTGGTTTACATGTCGGAAAGATCGGCCTATGTCAACAGTGACATTTTTGTTTCAGTGGCTCAAAAATCAGTTCGTTCTCATAAAGTCGACGGGTGTAGTTTGTTACTGCTTATCATGCTTCACACTACAGTAACGTTCAGATGGTAGAATACTCTGTTAAACACATTAGACTGCTTTGTTTACCAAGTCATACGACACTATTTTTACAACTGCTAGATAGATGTTTTTTCAGATCGTTAAAATTAAACTACTAATTGATGATCTGGAACAGGAAGGTGTGGACACCTTCGTCTATAGCATTTTTCAGATAAAAAAGCTTGCACGCCATTCAAGATTTACGTCTTCAAGATTTACGTCTAGTACATTGGTTACCGGGTAGGAAAAGTTTAACATTCCTGGACGACTGTGAAGATTGCTAAGTCGAGGCGCAAGCCGAGACTTAGCAACACAGAGTCCAGGAATGTGGCTTTTCCTACGAGGTAAACATACTATTTTTCCGCAAATCGTTTAAAATACAGTAAGGAAATGACATTTCCTTATAGTAAGGAAGTCCTGACTTTTTCTTCAAGAAATTTTGACAGGAATGTCAAAATTTCCTGGCGATTTGCGGAAAACTATTATATTAACAGTAAATACACTTAGTTTTAAAACTACATCAACACATCAAAATACATAAGAAAACATTTTAATATAAAATCTAAATTTTAAACTTACCTCTTTAGGGGTTTAATAACAAAAACGTCCCGCCATTATTTCTTGTTCAAAATAATCTATCTTATATGAAAGTTTATCAGCTTTCTACAGACTTTTATTTGTTTTGGCATATGACAATCACAATACACTTTAAAGCTATTAATCTAAATTAAAAATGTATTTATAAATACAATGTATTAATATATATTATATTATGATCAAATTGTGTAAGAAATCAAAACAAACAAAATTTCTACTCTAAAAAACCGGCAACATTTAATACACTTTTGCCACCCGCTGAACTGTCAATAATTTTTGATATATTTCCGTATCAGTTGCGTACAATTGTCTAATATATTTAATTAAAATTATTATTTTGTAGAATATTAAACTTCAAGAGTTATTTCATAAAATATATTATTAATAATAATAAATGTTTTTGGTTATTTAATCAATATAGTGCTAAAATTTACAATATAATAATGATTATATTTTTCTGATTATTACACCATGTTGACGCCTATGTAAGATCGAGCAGTTTGCAGATAATTTCTGCAAACTTTTTTGTTTTTATCTTGGTTTTGTATAATTTTAGAAGGCTGCGGAACGTATCCCTACTTTTTCAAGGCAATTAATGTTTTTTTATACGATTTTTTATATGCGCTATAATTTTTTTCAAATTGAACTTTGACACATTAATTAATGCTTTAATTATTTAATTAAGTTTACCGTGTCAGCTAGTAATGATATATAATTGAAGAGTTCTGTGAACAAATGTCCATATTTTTCTTTTTATTGGATCTTTTCCTCGGTATTGCCCTCTACAAATCATAAGTGAAACACAAAAATCTTGTTACGGCATTTTTTAAAGGATATCTCTTGATCTGTCAGCTCTTTGGCATACATTGCCAAGTAATGTGGCGTTTGAATAATAGTATCCATCTAGGACGTGAGCTGTGATTTATTGTAAACAATTTCGAAAATTTAATTTGAGACCCCAAGGCCAAAGGCCAAGAAGTGAGGCGTTTAGGAAGCGGTACACGTTCGTGTATCTGGAAAATAAAGTGCTCGGGACGGTCGCAAAATAAATAGGTTGTATTTGAAGGCTAAATTTCACCGTTTAGCATCACGATATTCTCAAATGTTTCCTGCCATCGATTTTTCTTGCTACCCTTTTCCATTAAATGACTCGTGAATCTTATTAAAATTGAATATTTTATGCTGTTTAAATTGAGGCCGAAGGGCGGTATTATATTGAAAGCTGTTATTTTAGTTACCATTACTGACTAATACCACTTACTGTCAGTTGTGGCGATATTGGTCGAGAAAATTGTTTTTCAATATTTAACTAGAAAAGTATATTTAGACGAACTAAATTATTGATCTCTTTTTAATAAAGTGATTTTCATGATGAATATTCCATAAACTTTACAACATTAACAAACGCTAAGAAGGGAGGAAAGACAAAAATCCCAATTGATCCGCCTACAAAAAATTTTCCCGTATAGCTTAAAAAATTGTACAAAAGAATATTACTCTTTGTTAAATTTTTTTCATCCTCTTTTCGAGACGCACGACCTAATTCCAAGCTGATTGTTTCAGATACAAATTCTTCGTCTTCTCGGCCTACTACGACGAAAGAAAAGGTCAGAGGGTAGTGCGAATCATCGCTGCTACGAAGACCCGAGGCGCGGAAAGAGTATTTTGCCGATTGTGGTACAAAGCTGGAGAGTTCAACGCGTCGGCCCATGTCTCCATCACCGTTCCTGCTAAAGTAAAGGTAAGACACTAAGGGGACCTGTACAAAAAGTTTTCTGCGAAAAAAGTTATCTTAGCGAATTACTTTAAAATGTTAAATAGGCTACTGAGAATAATAATGCTAAGTTTGTGGAAAACTTATATCATTAATTAAAAATATTAAATAATATGTGTTCATTCTAATTTGTTTGTTTTTATTATTTTGTATTCGCTCCGTGCGTGACCATGGTAGGGGTACATTGAAACGATGCCAGCGTGCGTAGCGGCGAAATATGACAAAATTGGAATATTGAACAAAATATTTTTACGCATAAATTTTATCAAAAATGTGTGCAAATACATGTTGCATATTAATTGTGCTAATAATAGCAAAAACAGTGAGTGTAGTTTTTATAGGTTTCCAAAGATTACATATAAATTAGAGAAAAGAAAAAGACGAATTCGTGCTATTAATATGAAAAAGTAAATATCACATAATTTCATTTTTATGCAACTGAAATAAAAAAAATTTAAATAATTTACCTTGAATGATATTTCATAAGGCTTCAAGCTAACTGCCGATGACTTTAGCTTTTATATCATAACTTTTACTATTATTGTTTTTAATTATATACTCTTTTGCGTGAAAAACTTGATTTGACAGTACTATAGTGTATTTTTATGTATGAGAGAGTAATAAAACAATAAATTATGTATGCAAATCCCTAAACTGTTGATACGGGTGACTCAATGAAAAACAGATATTTGTCAACAAGTTTACAGAAGTATATAGGAAAACAATTTTAAATTGAGTATGACCACCAGGTATAAAGGTTGGAGCAGAATAGAATACAATAGTTGTAAGGCTTACTAATCCCTAAATAAGGTTGCCAGTGTCGGAATGATGGAGGTTAACAGGTACTAATGAATTTGCAAGAAATGTAAGATGTTTATTTTATTGGTTATATATAACCAATAAAAGTTTAATAAGTACCTACCTATTTGCAAAATAAAGTTTAATTCTTTAGATAAAATAAAACGTTTTATTTTATCTGAAATGAGTGCATTCCACGAAGTAAGGGTTTCAACAATCAAACATTTAATTCTTTAATTCCAGGAATCTACGACAGTAATTGACTAGATAATTAGCTTCTAAACTTATTCCACAGAAAATGTGATAGTGGGTTTTTCCATTTTGTAGGAAGGTCCAAGTGGCGTATTCAAAATTCTTAACAGTTCACTAAAAGTAGGTTCTTCAGTTGCAAGGTGCAGTTTATTGTGTATACTAGTGTTATGGAAAATTTGGAAGTGCCGTGTAAACGCCGAAAAATTGGTCCTTTAACAGTTAATGAAAAATCATTCATATTTAATTGTTTTAAATCATTTACAGACAGTGAAAGTGTTGATGAGACCGTTGAGTTAGTTAGCAGTACACTTGGTGTTGGGAAATCTACGATTTACAGAGTTATTAAAGAAGAGAAATGTGGTAAATTTCAAATGCCACGTAGTGCTCCAGGGAAACCAAAATTTCAAATAGAATATCATTTTAAAGAAGGACTTCGACGGAAAGTGCATGAATTCTTCTTTAGACAAGAATTTCCAACATTGGATAAAGTTCTTGTCTCAGTTCGAGATGATAAGGATTACCCAGAAATAAGTCGAAGTACGTTATGAAAACTTTTAAAAGAAATAGGCTTCCGCTGGAAAAAGAATCCCAGAAAGTCTATTTTATTAGAAATAAGCGATATTGTCATATGGAGAAGACATTTTCTAAGAACAATAAAGGAAATGAGAAACCAAAAAAGAAAAATATTTTATCTTGATGAAACATGGATCAACGAGGGTCATACACCAAATAAATTTTGGCAGGATGAAACTGTTACAAGTCAAAGGCACGCTTTTGTAAATAACTTATCTACTGGTTTAAACCCACCATCAGGAAAGGGACGCAGGCTGATAATAGTACACATTGGCAGTTCAGACGGTTTTGTTGAAGGTGGTTTATTAACTTTTGAATCAACTCTTACCGGTGACTACCATGAAGACATGAACGCTGATGTCTTTCAAGAATGGTTCGAACAAATGATAGATTTTCTTCCTAAGAACTGTGTAATAGTAATGGATAATGCAAGTTATCACTCCAGACTTATAGAAGGACTGCCCACAACCAATTGGTTAAAAAAAGACTTGCAGAATTGGCCGAGTTCAAAAAATATTACGTACCATCCCGGATTTATAAGAAAGGAACTTTATTCGTTGTGTGCCCTTCATAAAGAAAAATTTAAAAAATACGAAATTGATGAAATTGCCAAAAATCGTGGAATGACAGTACTTAGATCCCCACCATATCATTGTGAATTAAACCCGATTGAACTGGTATGGACACAGATAAAGAGTGAAGTTTCAAGAAAAAATACCACTTTTAAAATTCATGTTGTTAAACAGTTGTTTTTGGAGGCCGTAAATAATGTAAAACCTGAAAACTGGGAAAAGGCAGTAAATCACACTATTAAAGAAGAGGAAAAAATGTGGAAGCTGGACAATATTACTGATAAAATGATCGAGCCAGTTATTATAAATCTTGGTTCTGAAAGCTCATCTTCTGAATCTGATTTGGATTTGTAACAAGTAGCTGTAAGTTTTATATTAATATTTTTATTCATCTATTTAACATACCTTAGACGGTTTTAAAAACTCTTTTTCTGTTTTGTAATTTTTAAAAATTAAAAAAAAATGTGAATTTTTTAAAACCCTTTTTAATGTAGACCAGTCAGTTCTAATATAGTGTGTGATAAAAGAGGTCACTTTTGTTTACATACACATAACACTTTATAACACTGAAATAATTCATTTATTTTTTACAATTATTCAAAGTAATTTTTCAATTAATATTGAGCACGCCCATTAATTACTCTCTGGTTCATAAAAATAAACTATAGATTTTTCCTTTCTTTTCCGTTTGGAGTTGAAAAGATATATTATGATGAATTTTGAGAAACCCAGTTTTAATACTACATTTATTTTGTACATAAACTGAAAAAATATAGTTAAAAAACTAATTTATTAATAATTGTCAATTTTGCACGTATTTAACAATGTCAAACATATGTCATATGTTTAACCTCAAAATTGGGACTCCAAAATTGTCAGATGAAGGCGGTAGGTGTCGCGTCAGTCACGCACGGAGCGAATATTAAATAGTCTCATTGTATTTTGATTTGATGTGTTAGAAAATAAGTTTAAGTTTTCTTTCAAGTTTGGGTGGTGTTTTCACGCTGTATATCGTAAACTATCTATCCCAGAAAAATTTTATTAGACATTTTTTTAAGCCCTTTTCGGATTGCCGAATATAGGCCTTTTCTAATTCTCGCCATTCATCTTTGTTGTTTGTAAGACGTTTCCACATTATTCCTGCAGTTCTTTTATATCGTCGCTGCACCGCATTTGCGGTCTTCGACGTGGTCTTTTGGCTCCAATTCCCGATTTCTTTATTCCATCGGCCATCCGTAAGATATTCGTTATGTCCAGCCCATTTCCATTCAGTGTAGCTGCGTGTTCGACAGCATCTTTTACTTTTGTTGTATTACGAATGTCTTCATTGGTTTTATGGTCTTTGAGAGAGATACCCAGCATCTGTCAATCCATAGCTCTGTTTTTCTGATCTTCTTCATGTTTATTTTAGCGAGTGTTCAGGTTTGAGCTCCATATGTAAGTACAGGTAGGATACAGTTACAATTAAACACTTTGGTTCCAAGTCTTTCATTAGATATTTGTCTTTATTTTTAACTGTAAAAAGGAAATGATAATTTTAACTGTAAAATGGAAAATAAAAATGTTATAAAAAAAATAACTACAAATATTAGAACAAATTTTCTTTTGGGCCTTATAACTTTTTTTCTGGTAATTTTACAATAAAATTACATCAGAACAATGTCATTTAGGATTTTTCATAGAATAATTTTCATTACAAATTTGTTTAATTTCATTAATTTCTTTGGATTTTGCAGCGATTTGAAGTTGACTTGAGACGTAAACTAGTAATCCTACAGAAAATTGTATCAGACATTATTTGTAGTAAATTAAATTGTCTACAACTTTATTCATAAAAAAAGTTAACAAAAACAATTTTACATTTTTTAACAAATTTTCTTTTGGACCATATAACTTCTTTTCTAGTGATTTTACAATAATATGATATCATTTGTTATTTGAATATTTTTTATTTGAAATATTTTTTTCTACGGTGTACAGATCCTTGGTAAATCGATTTTTTTGCGTTTTCCCACGTGCAAGGGTGGTTTTAGGGAAAAGTCCGGGAGTAAAAGTGGTAAACTTTCTTGTATCTTTTTTCTTCTTCTTTAAGTTCCATCTTCTATCGAAGGTTGAAAGTCATGGCTATGCGGACTCTGTTGACTGCCGCTCTAAAAAGTTCTGCACTACTGCATTCAAACCATTACCTTAAGTTCTTAAGCCAGGATATTCTTCGTCTTCCCACATTTCGCTTTCCTCGGATTTTGCCCTGCATAATAAGTTGTAATAATGCGTATTTTTGCCCTCTCATCACATGTCCCAAGTACTCAAGTTTGCGTCTTTTAATAGTTAATATTATTTCCGCCTCATTTCCTATCCTTCTAGTTACCTCCATGTTTGACATTCTTTGAATCCATGATATTCTTAGGATTCTTTTGTAACACCAAAATTCAAAGGCGGCCAGCTTATTCAGATGAACTTGTTTTAGTGTCCAAGCTTCCAGACCATAAAGAAGAGTAGAGAACACGTAACATCGAAGCATTCTCAGGCGTAGTTCTAACCTTATATCCCGACAACAAAGAAACTTTTTAAGTTTAATAAATGATGTACGTGCTATTTCTATACGTGTCTTAATTTCTTTGGTTTGGTCTACATCTGATGTTATCCATGTTCCTAAATATTTATAGTTATTAACATTCGCAATTGCAGTATCTTCAATAGTCAATTGGATATTTACATGTGCAGATTTAGTCATGATCATGCATTTAGTTTTCTTTAAATTTATCTTCAGTC